TGCATGGCTCCCCTAGAGGCTAGAGAGTAACATTACTAGCTAGCATTTAGTGAACAATTACTCTATTCCAGGTTCCTAGTTAACTTCTTACATCACTGGATCCCCTTTCCCCAGCAACTATATGAGGTAAGTGCTTATCCTATCCCCATGTTATATAAGGGAATAATGAGGGACAGAGAAGAAACGAAACTTGTTCAACATTGCACGACTAGGCTGGGTGCAGTGGCTCACGCCTGTAATCCCAGCACTTTTGGGAGACTGAGGCAAGCAGATCACCTGCGGTCAGAAGCTTGAAATCAGCCTGGCCAACATGGTGAGACCCCATCTCTATTAAAAATACAAAAATTAGCCAGGCCTGGTGGTGGGCACCGGTAATCCCAGCTATTAGGGAGGCTGAGTCATGAGAATCGCTTTAACCTGGTAAGAGGAGGTTGCAGTGAGCTGAGATCACGCCATTGCACTCCAGCCTGGGTGACACACTGAGACTCTGTCTTAAAAAACAAACAAACAAAAACAACATTGCATGACTTGACCAGGAGCAGTGGCTCATGCCTGTAATACCGGCACTTTGAGCATTTTGGGAGGCTGAGGAGGGACAGCTGCTTGAGCTCAGGAGTTTGAGACCTTGAGACCAGCCTGGGAAACATGGCACCCTATCTCGCCAAATTTTTTTAAAACTTTAGCTGGGCATGGTGGCACTTTCCTATGGTCCCAGCTACTTGGAACCTGAAGCAGGAGGATTGCTTGTGTCCAGGAGATCAAGGCTGCAAGTGAGCTGAGATGGCACCACTGCATTCCAGCCTGGGTGGCAGAGCAAGACCTTATCTCAGAAGAAAAAAAAAAGAAAAAGATAAAAAAGATTGCATGACTAGAAAGTAGCAGAGCCAGGCTTTGAACTCTAGAGCCTGTACTCTTAGTCACAAGGCTTCCCTGACACTTTGAAGTAAACCCCCCACCTCCAGCAATATCTGATGGAGGCAGTGCCACCACGGAGCTGAAGTGGAAGAAGAGATCTGTAATCTTTGGTATCCTCCCACTCCTCTTGACTCTGACTAGGAAGTCCTGCCTTCCCACAGAGAGGCAAAGACAACACTTCATGTATGACCCAGACGAAATCGACAGCAGCAAATGTAAACAAAGCTTCATTCTGGCTATAGTGACTTGGCTTGAGTAATTTGGATAGAAATGGTAATTCACCTTTTCTGTGTTAGTGGTTGGGTTTAAAAAAAGCATGGTAGATTGACTGAGGGAGTCATGAGTTTAAAAAAACATTTAAAAAAACCATCGTGGAGGAGACAGAACCTGGCTTTGGATTGAAATCTGTCTTTTCATTTTCTAAATATTTATCTGGTCTTTAAAGTGATGTAGAGTCTGTGAGAGGCACTTAAGCTACTGATAGTGTAAGTTCAAAAAAAATCTGGCCTGACCTCTTTCAAACTCTATTTCCCTATTTATATAATGGAGCTAATACTACCTATCACAAAGGATTGTCAGAATGATTGTATGAGATAACTATGCTTTCAGCTCTATTTGCCACTTCTGATAAAGGGAAGGTTTTGAAAAGTGAACTCAAAGGTACCTGTTACCAAGATGGCCTATGTAGCACCACCAGGGGGAGCAGAGAACAAGAGTTTCACCCAGAAAACAGTTGGCTTCTGAAAACTTCTTGAGAGACACTGATAATACAGTTACTTTCTATTTTGTAAATATTTTTCTAGTCTATTACATATTCCTATTTACATGAAGTAAGAGAGTTTTTTTGGGGGCGGTTGGGTTGGGGGAGACAAAGTCTCGCTCTGTCACCCAGGCTGGAATGCAGTGGTGCGATCTTGGCTCGCTGCAACCTCCGCTTCCCAGGTTCAAGCAATTCTCCTGCCTCAGCCTCCTGAGTAGCTGGGATTACAGGTGCACACACCACACTCAGCTAAGGTTGTTGTATTTTCAGTAGAGACAGGGTTTCACCATGTTGGCCAGGCTGGTCTTGAACCCCTGAACTCAGGTGTTCCTCCCTCCTCAGCCTCCCAAAGTGCTGAGATTACAGGCATGAGCCACTGCACCCAGGTTAAGGAACTCAGTATTCTTTAATATCATTCTATGACTGTGATACTATACAAAGGACCCCAGGGATCTTATTAGAATAAAACTCCATTAATTCAGGATCTAAAAATTGAGAATTTTATTTGTGTTGTTTTGAAATGTATCTAAAGTCTGCATATGCAAAAGGAATTCAGCAGAATCTTCACCTGTATATCGATCAAATAATGCAAAACATGGATCCCATTTAAGTGTAATGCAAACGACTGTAAAGTTCACATTTATGATTTGAGTGTACAAAGGTAAACAAGTTGACATAAGGAATTTATTTATTTATTTATTTATTTATTTATTTATTTTTTGAGACGGAGTTTCACTCTTGTTACCCAGGCTGGAGTGCAATGGCACGATCTCGGCTCACCGCAACCTCCGCCTCCTGGGTTCAAGCAATTCTCCTGCCTCAGCCTCCTGAGCAGCTGGGATTACAGGCACGCGCCACCATGCCCAGATAATTTTTTGTATTTTTAGTAGAGACGGGGTTTCACCATGTTGACCAGGATGGTCTCGATCTCTTGACCTCGTGATCCACCCGCCTCGGCCTCCCAAAGTGCTGGGATTACAGGCTTGAGCCACCGCGCCCGGCCTAGGAATTTATTTTTAACGAGTAACTTTTAGGGTATATAATAAAATTAGTATATTTTTGATACTTTTAAGATATATTACTCTATAGCAAAATTGATAACTCAGAATAAATCTTAAACAGTAGAAGGATTTGGAATCATGCTTAGCACCGAAGACAAATTAAGTTACGTTTAATGTATGTTTCAGTATTAAATATATATCATTTAACTCTCTGAAAACTGGTAATTTCATAGCTGATGCATAACTGTTCATTAGGAAAAGCCAGGTCAGATACTGTGGCTCTTGCCTATAATCTTTGCACTTTGGCTGATGAGAAAGCTTGTGGGAGGATGCATGAGGCTAGTTCAAGACCAGCCTGGGCAACACGGCAAGACCCTACAAAAAATAAAAATAAATTAGCCAGGCATAGTGGTGAATGCTTATAGTTCCAGCTACTTGAGAGGCTAAGGTAGGAGGATCGTTTGAGCCCAGGAGTGCACGGCTGCAGTGAGCTGTGATTGCACCAATGAACTGCAGCCTGGGTGATGAAGTGAGAGCCTATCTCTAAAAAAGAAAAAAAGGCCAGAAACCCTATTTCTTAATTATTTGAACTAACTGGCAGTTTATTATACTTAAAAATAATAAAATGGCATTTCTTTTCAAATACGTCAAATTTGGAACTTCTTCCTAAATCAGATTAGTATTCCTCCACAGTTAAAATTACTGAGTTTTTATTATATTGTTCCCAGGTGCTGTTATGTGATGTGACTTTAACGAACCTTGCAGCTATGCCTTTTCTAAGAAATTAGATAATTTACCCCTGGCATTTAAGGATGATTAGTTTGTTTCTCTAGACCGTCACTTTTTAAAACTCATCTTTACTCAGATTATCATCTTCGAGCTCACCTAAAACTCAGGTCTATACTGGTAATATTACACTCTGAATTGTATACTTTTCACTTAAAAAAAAATTCATAAATCTTAGTTCTCCCTTCTGAACAATTTTTATTTCGCTGGATGCTTGCCAAATTTTAGCATAGAATAGTTAAGTTTTTTTACCCATGATCATTGATATAAATTTCACCCTAGGAGACACTGAATTACAAATAGCTAACTGGATTCCTCTTATTTGGAGATCTGTCTATTTAGCAACTTACAAAAGGCAAGTGAATCTTTTCCGGAAACAGCTCTCTGTTTGGAAGCATACAATAATCATTATTAAAGCTCGAGTGGTTTTCCTAAGCGAAATAACACAAGAACAAAAACTCAGATACCACATAGTTCTCACTTATGAGTGGGAGCTAAACACTGGGTACTGTATTCGTGTGTTTCACGCTGCCGATAAAGACATACTGGAGACTAGGAAGAAAAAGAGGTTCAACTGGACTTACAGTTCCATATGGCTGGGGAAGCCTCGGAATCATGGTGGGAGGCGAAAGGCACTTATTAAATGGTGGCGACAAGAGAAATAAGGAAGAAGCAAAAGCAGAAACCCCTGATAAACCCATCAAATCTCATGAGACTTACTATCACGAGAATAGGATGGGGAAGACTGGCCTCCCGATTCAATTACCTCCCCCTGGGTCCCTCCCACAACACGTGGGAATTCTGGGAGATACCATCAAGCTGAGATTCGGTGGGGACACAGCTAAACCATATCAAGTACTCATGGACTTAAAGAGGGTAACAACAGGCCAGGCGCAGTGGCTCAAGCCTGTAATCCCAGCACTTTGGGAGGCCGAGGCAGGTGGATCACAAGGTCAAGAGATCGAGACCATCCTGGTCAACATGGTGAAACCCCGTCTCTACTAAAAATACAAAAAATTAGCTGGGCATGGTGGCGTGTGCCTGTAATCCCAGCTACTCAGGAGGCTGAGGCAGGAGAATTGCCTGAACCCAGGAGGCGGAGGTTGCGGTGAGCCGAGATCGCGCCATTGCACTCCAGCCTGGGTAACAAGATCGAAACTCCGTCTCAAAAAAAAAAAAAAGAGGGTAACAACAGACACTGGGGACTACTAGAGAGAGGAGAATGGGAGGATATCAAGGGCTGAAAAACCAGTTATTGGTAACTGTGCTCAGCACCCGGGTGACAGGATCAGCCATACCCCAAACCTCAGCATCACGAGATATACCTAGGTAACAAACTTGCACATGTGCCCCTGAATCTAAAATAAATGTTGAAAACTACTATATAAAACAAAAACTAAAGTGACTTGAAAATCATGCAAACAATCAGATTTAAAACATGTAAAATAGACATAGTAAGTCCACTGTAGCCACTGATGGTTGGCTTTTCTTTTAAATCATTCACTCACATGCTAAAGAATAATGAAAGTTGACCTTACATTCCAAGTTTGGTTTGTTGTAGCCTTGAATCTCATTTCACAGGAAACCTTTTCAATTGTTGTTTGACTATACCAGTAAATTATGGTCTTGGGCACTGTAGCATTTATAGTCTCAGCCTTGGAAATGATGGATGCAGAAGGTATCACTAGAAAGAAAAAAAAAAAAAAAGACCTGGCTGTTTAAAACTTACCTACGGAGAAACTGGCATCTTTTCATCAATATATAGACCTGTGAAAGCTCATAGTAAAAAAATTAAAAATTTTTTAAAAATTCATGATCTAATGAACAATTAATGAACATTTTCTTATTTGCTAATCTGTTATATAGAAGAAAACTGCTGTTAAGGAAAGTTCTATTTAGCCCCTTCCCCACTTAAAAAAAACTGAACTCTAATAGTCCTGTCTTTCCCTCACCTTCTACGCCCTTGTAATCCTAACTAATAAAATTCCACAGCCTAGCCTTATTAACAAGAGAGTATAAAAATGAACAAGAGAATATAAAAATGAGATAAAGTAGCTATTCTCTCCTCCCTGCATCTGCTCAGGGAGAGATGATACTGCATCTAATTTAGTTCAGATGATGAGATTTGATAAGATGTTAAATTGAGCCAGGTGTAGTGGTATGTGCCTGTAATTCCAACTACTCAGGAGGCTGAGGTGGGAGGATCACTTGAGCCCAGGAGTTCAAGGTTGCAGTGACCCATGATGGTGCCACTGTACTCCACCCTGGAGGACAGAATGAGAGCTTGTCTCACAAAAAAAAAGAAAAGAAAAGAAAGACAAAAAGGCTGGGTGTGGTGGCTCATGTCTATAATCCCAGCACTTTGGGAGGCCAAGGTGGGTAGATCACTTAAGTTCAGGAGTTTGAGACCAGCCTGGCCATCATGGCAAAACCCCAACTCTACTAAAAATAGAAAAAATTAGCCAGGCATGGGGGTGCATGCCTGTAATCCCAGCTACTCAGGAGGTTGAGGCAGGAGGATTGCTTGAACCCAGGAGGCAGAGATTACAGTGAGTTGAGTTCATGCCATTGTACTCCAGCCTGGGCAACAGCATGAGACTCTGTCTCAAAAAAAAAGAAAGAGAGAGAGAGAGAGGAAAGAAAGAAAGAGAGAGAAAAGATAGAAAGTAAGAAGAAAGAAAAAGAAAGAAAGGGAGAGAAAGAGAAAGAAAGAAATGAAAGAGAAAGAAAGAAAGGAGGGAGGGAGGGAGGGAAGGAAGGAAGGAAGGAATGAAGGAAGGAAGGAAGGAAGAAAGGAAGGAAGGGACGTTGAATTGAGATCTTTCATCACAATAATCTTCTTCTTCTCTTGTATACTAGGGAAACATATGAATATATGTATCTATTGCTAACTTGTTTTGTTCTCCATTAAAATAAATTTGTCCTTCCTTGAAACTTTGATTTGAAGAAAGCAGATCTGTAAGACTCTAAAGCTTTGTAAATTGTTGCCATGTTCTATTATAATAACCCTCAAAGGGGAAACTGAAATTCTGATTGGTTATGTTACTAGCTGTTTTGTTATAGTAGGAGGTTAATATAGTTGGAATCTCTGTTTCTAAACTGTGTAAATACTTGCAACTTTGTTTTGTCTGAACAGAATAGAATCATTAACACTTTCCATTTCTCCCCTAAGGAACAATGAAAACCTGCTAGCGGTATTATTTAGCAAAGAACTCAAGGGCCTGTAGGTATGATTTTAGAGACCACTATTACAGGTTAACATTTTTTATGAATTAGTTTATTTTCATGTATTCTAAGTTTATAAAGCATTCTTCAGGAAAATTATCTTTTTATTATAATGACTATTATCTAAAATTCTGTGCAAAGATAGATAATTTACAGAGAAAAATAAAAATTAACGATTTGCTGTCTAGTAGCACAATCCTATAATAAAATTTTGGAGCTAAACCTGGCATGGAAGTAGTAGCAGCTTTAATTTAGTTACCAAGCTTACCGTACTCAACTTTTCTCATCTGAATTTCATAGCTGATTTCCTTTTGCTAGAGTAAGCTTCTTGTAATAAGAATCAGTATTCAGGCTGGGCACAGTGGCTCACACCTGTAATCCCGACACTTTGGGGAGGCCAAGGCGGGCGGATCACTTGAGGTCAGGAGTTTGAGACCAGCCTGGCCAACAAAGTGAAACCCCCATTTCTACCAAAAATAGAAAAATTAGCCATGCATGGTGGCAGATGCCTGTAATCCCAGCTACTTGGGAAGCTGAAGCACCAAAATCACTAGAATCCAAGAAGCAGAGGTTGCGGTGAGCGGAGATCACACCACTGCACTCCAGCCTGGGCGACAGAGCAAGACTGCCCAACCCCCAACCCCGCAAAAAAAAAAAAAAAAAAAGAATCGGTATTCAGAGATTCGAGAGTCAAAGCAGTGGATCCTTGGGGCTCTGAGATTGCTTAGGACCATTTTGGCATCCTCAGGCCATAAATTTCCCATCTTTGCCTGTCACCCACTTCCACCTGTCTCCCGCCTCTGAGTTTGGCTTGGCCACTGTTACAGCAGCACAAGCATTGAAGGATACTTTTATGAAAATAAATATTCTGAGGAGGAAGCAAAAATCTGTTTAGTCTTATGAGAAATCTGTTTAGTCCTATGTGCTGATAGCACAGTAAGAGTCAGCATAAAGCAGGTTAGGGCAATCCAGATTTAAGTCTTTAGGTCTCAGTAAGTTCACATTTTTGCAAACTGGCATTTATTACATAATACATACTTGAATACTTCGTTTATTATACAAGACTCAGATGTTGAATTTTTACTCTTACTAATACGTTTCAAACATTTCCACCAGATCTTACATTTTAAAAAAGTTATCAATTCCATTATAGATGTCATATGTTTAAATTCTACTTGTATTAAAATGAGACTGGGGTCTGGTGCGGAGTGCCCCTCATCCTGGGAAACGGGATGTGGCCCAAAAGGCAGCCACCCCCTTGCCCATCAGGCAAAGCACGTTTGTGGGGAAACTGGCGTTAAACCATTCGTAGACGGCCTGCTTCTGGGTTGGGGTTTCGTATGCAGCAGAGCAGCTCCCTTGCTGCGATCCATTGAAAATCAGCCCTTGACGCAAGGGTTTACAAAAAAGATAAAAGAAAAAATAAAAATAAAAAGCCAGATTATAGCATTTTGGCATCTTTCCAATACATATTTACCCGTATTTATGTAATGGAGAGAATTAATGTTCAAAATAGCAAGCAGAAAGCACAGCACTTTCTGTACGGGAATTTATTTCCCTACGAGAGAAGTTAAAAGCATTCCTCTCATATGCTTTTTTGGCAAGTGTTATGGTGCTACAAACTTGTCCAGCCATTCAGCATAACTTCCCTAACGTAATTAAAGCCCAACCCATAGCCGTTATGTGGAAATTGTTCTCAGGAGAGTCTTCTGTTCTCAGGCATCGAACAGTTCATTTATCTAATTTGCAATGTCTCATTCTTAAAGTGTCACTCATGGAGACGGCTCATCTGTTAATAATCTGGTGGTTTTGTTGGCTGGGCCTTTTATGCAATTAATGTGTATTTTACAACCTGAATTTTTTAGTACATTTTGGAATAATGAAAAGGCAAGGAAGAGAATAGAGATGAAATGGAGGGAGGAGGTGGTAGAAGAGGAGGAGGTGGAGGAGGGAAAGAGAAAGAAGGAGAAGGAAAAGGAAGAACTCCAAACTCCTAGTTCCCAGTGTGAGAAGTCGGTTTGGAGGTAGAGGCCAGATGAGATTTTTTTTCGTTGGCGGGAGATGGGGTCGTGGTAAACTATGTCAAGTCAGCAGATTTGGGATGAAATCTGGCTTTCCTCATTACTAGCGAAGTGACTTTGAGCATATTTATCACTTTCTTCATCTGTAAAATGGGGATAGTAGCAGCATGTGTGGTTGTTTTCCAGAATGAAATGTGATGTGCATGTTAGGTGTCTGGAACACAAGAAGTGCTAAATAAATGGATGCAATGATATCAACATCACAATGGTAATAACAAAAATATTATTATTATATTTAGTTCCTAAAAATTGTACTGCTAAAATGATACTGGACATGATAGCCTTTAAACATCATTAATTCACTGAGAGGAACCTATTATAAGAAAAGGGTATATTACTGCCTTCTACCTTAAAATGTAAATTTACAAAAATGCATAGAGCATAGTCAAGACAACTGTAACTCCAAGGATATACGATAAAATGGAGTAATTGTCCATCATCATATTCAACAGATGTGCTGTCAAATCCAATATTCAGACCAGGCATGGTGGCTCAGACCTGAAATCCTAGTACTTTGTGAGGCCAAAGCAGGAAGACTGCTTGAGCCAGAGAGCTCAAGACGAGCCTGGGCCAACAAAATGAGACCCTGTCTCTAAAAGAGATTTAAGAAAATTAGCCAGGCACTGTGGCATGTGGCCTATAGTCCCAGGTACCTGAGAGGCTGAGGCAGGAGGATCCCCTGAATACAGGAGTTCAAGGTTGCAGTGGGCTGTGATCATGTTACTGCATTCCAGCCTGGGTGACAGAGTGAGACCCCCTTTCTCTCTCTTTCTCAAAAAAAAAAAAAAAAAAAATTATATATATATATATATATATATTCAGAGCATAAGGACAGATTTTTACACCAATGCCATTAGTTGAGATAGTTGAGGTTAGTTGAAAAGTAGACATAATTAGTTGCAATAGGAGACTTCAGTGATCCCAAAGGGGCACCATAGCGAAGGCTTCATAGCCCCCAGAACATTAATTAGCAGAAAAGTTGTCAGTTACAGTGCAATGTGCTTTTATTTTTTTCATGAAGACTGAAGATAGGAGTCAAAGATATTGGAATTAGATGTTCCCTACCTTCATGATCGCAAATTTTTTTAATGCCATCAAACCTCAGTTTTCTCAGATATAAATTATAATCTTATCTACAAAATAGGGTTGTTATGAGGGTTAAATAATGTATGTAAAAAGTAGTTAGCTGGCTGGTTGCAGTGGCTCAGGCCTGTAATCTTAGCACTTTGGGAGGCTGAGGTGGTGGATTGCCTGAGCTCAGGAGTTTGAGACCAGCCTGGCCAACATGGCAAAACACTGTCTCTACTAAAAATGCAAAAATCAGCCAGGTGTGGTGGCACACACCTGTAGTCCCAGCTATTCGGGAGGCAGAGGAGGGAGAGTTGCTTCAAGCTGGGAGGCAGAGGTTGCAGTGAGCCAAGATCGTGCAATTGCACTCCAGCCTGGGTGACAGAGTGAGACTCTGCTTCAAAAAAAAGAAAAAGAAAAAGTAGTTAGCACATAAGAAACTGCTCAAGAAATCTTAGCTTATTGAAATAATCTGTAATTATAACAACAGGAATCATTGGTACTAGGATCTCCAAAGAGAGGTTGAGTCACACTTGGTGTCATTTGTCTGAATTCTGGTTTTAGGACTTGGACATAGTTGTACAAAGCCCAGGGGTAATTACTTTTTGGAATTTATCTTAAGGAAACAACCAAAAACTATGCTGCAATTTAGTCACAAGTTGTTCATAGCAATATAGTTTATATGGTTGAAAACTGAAAATACTGTAAATCTCCAACAATAGGGATTAAACTGCAATGTATTCAGAAAACATAAAAAATAAAACTACAGATTAAATTAATAAATGTTTATTGTTAATATATAGGTATAAAAATGCAGGGTCTAAAAATATCTGAAACAAAAACTATTAATTGTTAAATCTGGCTGGTGAACATAGAGAGATCTACATAATTCGCTGCAATTTTCTATGTATTTCGTAAAACTTTTCAAAATAAAAACAAACAAAAAAACCCCTACATAAGTCCCCAAGAAGTATATAAAGTATAAGACTTTAGCATGCTGTACTTCTCACAACATAAGACTCAACACACTTTATCATGATCATTGTTTTGGTTTTTTTTTTGTTTGTTAGTTTTTGCCTTCCTTAAAAGATTGCAAGTTATTTCAGGGAAGGTACCTTGCCTATGTTATTCACTGTAGCCTTTAGAACAATGCTGGAAAAAAAGAAGTTTCCAATAAATATTTGTAAAAAACACATTGAACAATTTTTTTTTTTTTTTTTTTTTTTGAGATGGGTTTTGCTCTGTCACCCAGGCAGGAGTGCAGTGGTGCAATCTCAGCTCATTGCAACCTCTGCCTCCCTGGGTTCAAGCAACTCTCCTGCTTTAGCCTCCCAAGTAGCTGGGACTACAGGTGCCCACCACCATGCCCAGCTAATTTTTTTTTGTATTTTTAGTAGAGACAGGGTTTCACCATGTTGGCCAGGCTGGTTTTGAATTCCTGACCTCAAGTTATCTGCCTGTCTCAACCTCCCAAAATGCTGGGATTACAGGCATGAACCACCATACCCCACCACATACACCAATTTAGAAATGAGACTGGACGGATATGCAACAACATGGCAGCAGCACTACTCATCTCTAAGCTGTCTTGGGCAGGTAGAATTATGGGTGATTTCTGTTTCCTTTATGATGCTCTGCAGGAATTTTATGGGAACTTCTTTCACATCTAGAGCTCATTTGATTAGGGTAGCACAAATTGGTTATTATTAAAGACATTACAGAAGTTCTTATTCTTTACCTATATCATCCAGGTGAATTTGCAGCTGTTTTGACTCCTCCATGCCTAGTGCGTTTGCTGCTTGGACCCAAACCAAATACTTCTTACCACCTTGTAATGAATCAGTGGAGATGTTAACATAGCTTGAGGTGAGATATTGTTGCTCTTCTTCTGTCTCTAAACTAAAAAAAAAAAAAAAAAAAAGGTAATCATATATTGTATTTAAGTTGAATTAATTGGCAAGGCATGGTGGCTCACACTTGTAATCCTAGCAGTTCAGGAGGCCAAGGTGGGTGGATCACTTGATGTCAGAAGTTCAAGACCAGCCTGGGCAACATGGTGAAACCCTGCCTCTACTTAAAAAATATAAAGCTGGTGGCATGTGCCTGTAATCTTAGCTATTTAGGAGGCTGAGGCAGGAGAATCACTGGAACCTGGTAGATGGAGGCTGCAGTGAGCCAAGATCACGGCATTACACTCCAGCCTGGATGACAGAGCAAGACTCAGTCTCAAAAACAAAAAAAGTTTGAATTAATTATTCCAGAGTTTTAAAATGCTACCTTTGTTAAAAAATTAAAATTTAATTTTCTAAACAATAGAGACAGGGTCTTGCCATGTTGCTCAGGCTGGTCTTGAACTCCTGGGCTCAAGCCATCCACGCATCTCGGCCTTCCAAAGTGCTAGAATTACAGGCATGAGCCACTGTGTTAGGACAAAATGCTAACTTTTTAAGCCTGCTTTCAAACATGCACCCTTTTACTGAAAAATATATCAAAATTGATTTTATTTTCAAAATTTTAAAAATAAATTCAAATCTGACAAGGGCCACAGTATGACTTCAGTGGGCCCTGAACACTTCTGCCTTCATGGACCCTTTCCTCCATTAAAATAAAAATAGAGTGTCTATATATTATATAAATATTTAAAATACACATATAAATGTACACACACATACATATATGTGTACACATGCATTCCATATACATGCATATACATGAATGTAACAGTTATTTTTCTCTTCTGATTTTAAGTAAAATTAAACATTTTCATGAACTCCTAAAAGTATCGTGGGCCAGGCACGGTGGCTCACGCCTGTAATCCCAGCACTTTGGGAGGCCGAGGCAGGTGGATCACGAGGTCAAGAGATTGAGAACATCCTGACCATGATGGTGAAACCCCGTCTCTATTTAAAAATACAAAAATTAGCTGGGTGTGGTGGGGTGTGCCTGTAGTCCCAGCTACTCAGGAAGATGAGGCAGGAGAATTGCCTGAACCTGGGAGGCGGAGGTTGCAGTGAGCCGAGATCGTGCCCACTGCACTCTAGTCTAGCGCCTGGTGACAGAGTGAGACTCTGTCTTTAAAAAAAAGTATTGTGGGCCCTAGCCACCATGCCTACTCTGCCTATTAGTGAAGTTGGCACCGGACATAGCTTGTAATAGCCAGAATAGCTGCCTTTAGAAAGGAGCACTGCATTTTGGTTCAGTGCAAGGACTGTGAAGTCAGAGATTTGTATCAGGATATAGGGTGAAAGGGGTGAGGACGGAGTGGTGGGGAGAAGTCAGGATGGGGTGAGAGATTGCGATGGGGTGGGGAAAGCCAGCCTCCTGGACAGAGACAACCAGCATGTCATTTCAAATACATGAAATGACACGACATTTCTGAGAAGGTTCAACAAGTGCGGTAGCCTGGATCCTGAAAACTTGTAGCGGAGCAGGCCATGTCAGAAGACCTTCCATGAGCTACTGATGGATCAGGACTGCATCATGTAAGTGATGGAAAGAGAGTGCAGACAGTGAGATTCACACTATTTTGAGGGTCTCTGGGGCTGTTTGGCACCTTTACGGAGGACTGATGGGAAATGAAAGTGGTGGTAGTAGAAAAAGCAAAAGGCTATACAGTAATCCAGAATTGGATTATTAGTCTGAAATAAGTGGAAGCCAATGGGGGTGGATATAAAAGATTTTGAGACAGGGTCTGGCTCTGTCACCCAGGCTGGCATGCAAAGGTGCCATCTCAGCTCACTGAAACATTGATCTCCTGGGCTGATGTAATTCTCCCACCCCAGCCTCCTGAGTAGCCGGTACCACAGGCATGTACTACCACGCACAACTAATTTTTGTATTTTATGTAGAGATGGGGTTTTGCCATGAGGCCCAGGCTAGTCTCCAACTCTTGAACTCAAGCAATCTGCCTGCTTTGGCCTCCCAAAATGCTGAGATTACAGGCATGCACCACCTTGCCCAGTCCGTGAAGGATTTTGGGCATAGAACTGAGTGGATCTAATGACAGATTTGATGAGGGGAAAGGGAGCCATTTGTGGAAGAGAATGGAAAAGATAAAGAAGAAAGATCTGGCTTAGAACAGGGGAATAGAGAGGGCTATTCAGTATCATTTCAAAGTATATTCATCTAAGTTTTTATAATTGAATGAGAATTTCCAACAAGCCCAATAAACTTGGTAGAATTCCAAATGATATCTGTTAATGCCAAAAATTCAAATCGTATTCATTGGCATTGGCTTTGGACAGAAAGTCTGAGCCTCTGTTTTAAAATCCCTACTCCCAAACAATCACACAGTGTTTTCAGTAGACGAGGGTTGGAGGCTGTGATGAAGGGAGTGCTGGAGAGTGCTTCTTTGCTCCTCTGATTTCTGTGAAGAGATTCGATATGGTTTCCACACTCGTCCTCTCCAAATCTCATGTTGAAATGTAATCGCCAGTGTTGGAGGTGAGGCCTCGGGGGAGGCGATCGGGTCGTGGGGGCAGCAGACCCTTCATGAGTGGCTTGCTGCCCTCCTAGCTGTAGTGAGTGGGCTCTTGCTCTGAGTTCATGCAGATCTGGTTATTTTAAAGAGTGTGGCACCTCCCTGCTTCCTCTATCTCGTTAACCATCTTCCCGTACAGCCTGCATAACCATGAGCTGAAGTAAAACTCTCTTCTTTATAAACCCAGCCTCAGATATTTCTTTTTTTCTTTTCTTTCTTTCTTTTTTTTTTTTTCTTTTAGAGACAGGGTCTTACTGTGTCACCCAGGCTGGAGTGGGGTGATGTGACCACAGTTCACTGCGGCGTTGACCTCCCGGGCTCAGGAGATCCTCCCACCTCAGCCTCCTGAGTAGCTGGGACTACAGGCACGCAACACCACTCCCAGCTAATTTTTTGCAGGGACAGGGTTTCGCCACATTGCCGAGGCTGGTCTCAAACTCTGAGCTCAAGTGATCCTCTTGCCTTGGCTTCCCAAAGTTCTGAGACTGCAGATCACACCTGGTCTAGATATTTTTTATAGCAAGGCAAGAATGGATTAACACAAGAGTGTCCCCAAATCTCCTAGCCTCTTGTCCCACCCCTTATTCACTCATTCTTCTGCAGAAATGAATAGGGGTCCCCGTAGACTCCAAAACACAGCATAATCTATAACCAGATTTATTTGCAACATGGAAGTATTTTCACTGGGCTTTCCTCCATTTCCATTTTGTGAGCCTTTGAGCTACCTACTCCATTATTTCATGTTCTTAAGCTTCTCAGATTTTCTACCTCCTTGGTAATGACATCCAACTTATTTCCATTTGTCTTTGGTCCTTTTATTGTTCTTCGAAAATGGTGTCCATTGAGAGGTCAAGTCCTCTGAGTCCCCATGTAAGCGTTTATCCCTCTTGATTGCCTATAATTCTTACTTCCCTTGCTACCCAAAGCCTGTCTTCTGGGTTAGAGGGCCTGCCTCTCTCACACCTGCTTAGTGACATCTGTCCCCCTCCAGCCTCCCACCTGGGTTTCTCTCCCTACTCTCTGAGTCCACTCACATTGAAGGTCAGCCCTGGCACTTGCCTTTTCCCTGACCCCCTTTCCGGGGCTCTCTCCCTTCCCAGCTTCAACTGCTGTTTCACATGTGTGTCTCCCACGTATCTGTGCCCTCACTGTAGCTTCATTCGGATGTCTGACTGAAACCAGAACCAGAGAAAATTGACAACTAAATTCTCTTTCCATGCATATCAGCCCTTCTTGCCCTTCTTTCCGTTGTTGTCAAAGGCATGCTGACCACCTTTCTGAGTTTGCCATTTTTAACAACTTTCTTTTCATCACCTTTAAGAGCCAACCAATTACTAAAAAAGGTTAAGCATTTTTTAAGCATTAAAATATTATTTTCTCATTTTATCTTTTTTCCCTGTTTTGATAGCTATGGCAATGGTCCAGATCTTTATTACCTGTGCGGTGTATTACTTTCAGACTCCTAAGTTAATTGCATTACATTGTGAAACTTAACTTGATATAGCTATACCACTTAAGAAGGAAAATAACCTTGAAATTTGAACAATGCTGGAAAGCCAAGTAGCTTACATTCTTGTTTTGTCGTATTTTTTAGAGCTAGGGTCTCACTCTGTCACCCAGGTTTGAGTGCAGCAGCACAATCATAGCTCACTACAGCCTTGACTTCCTGGGCTCAGGTGATCCTCCCACCTCAGCCTCCTGAGAAGCTGGGATTGCAGGCATGTGCCACCAGACCCAGCTAATTTTTTTTTTAATAGATGCAGCCTGGCCATGTTGCCCAGGTTGGTCTCGAACTCTTGGCTTCAAGGGATCCTCCTATGCAAGGATTACAAGTATGAGCCACTGTGCTCAGCCATATACATTCTTATTTTTATCAAATAGACATACTTCACAAATTTGTATGTTGTCCTTGATCAGGGGTCATGCCATCCTTTTTGTCCTGTTCCAATTATCGTATTTGTGCTGTTGAGGCAGACTCTAATCTGATTTTTTTAATCTACTACTATCAACTGCTTTCTGTCTCAGGGGACTGCCTTTGATTGGATTTGTGGAGGAGATAGAGCTTAAAAATCACTGTCACTTCCTCCCTAGGGCTCCAACAAGTCCTGTTACTACTGTGTGTCTTTTCAGCAACTCCTAAATTTTTCCAGCCTCAAAATATCCACCAGGATTAAACCTGCTAACCACTTACATCTTTTAGACTCCAAGAAACATGCTTGCTGAGACAGAAAAAAGGAACCAGCCTTATGCTATTAATACCAAGCAATAAGCACATGTGTGCATCAAAGTACTATATAAATCATTGCTACTACCAGAGCAAGAAAACGTTAGCAAGTGGTCAAGGAATCTATCTAAGGCTGACAGTCGCTGGGGCGGTATGAGCAGTTCCTCTTGTTCAGCTCAGGCTTTTCAGTACCAG